CYKGRRRAAAWKGKGATCAGGGGGACATTGTGGCTCTGAACAACTCCCTGACAGCAGGGGACAGCCGAAAGGTCGGGCTCTGCTCCCAGAGAACAGGGAACAACCTCAAGCTGTGCCAGGGGAAGCTTAGTTTGGACATCAGGAGGAATTTCCTCATGGGAAGGGTGCTCAGGGGTTGGAAGGGCTGCCCAGGGAGGTCTGGAGTCCCCTGGAGGTGTCCAAGGAAGGCCTGGATGTGGCACTCAGTGCTCTGGGCTGGTGACAAGGTAGGATAGGGCACAGCTTGGATTTGCTGGTCTTGGAGCTTTTTCCAACCTCAGTGATTCTGGGATTCTGCAAAAAGGGGGGAAAGCAGCATGGCTTTGCCGTTTTCCTGACAGAGCCCAGCATGGCGAGTGACCCGAGGGTGACAGTGACCCGAGGGTGACAGTGACCCAAGGGTGACAGTGACCCGAGGGTGACCCTCGCTGGCCACGCAGCCGGGAGAGAGGAACCACAACCCACAAAAACCACAATCCCGTTCCAAACACCCAACATCTCCCTCTCCCTCCTCGTGGAAGGTTTACCAGCTTTACTGGCTCTGCAGCTCGCTGTAATTACACCTATTTTGGGGGCTCCCGTGYGTGTACAAGTTCCAACATTTCCTCAGTGTGAGATTTCACTGCGGGAGGCTCCAAACTTTGGATCCAGCCCTGGAGAGGCTGAGCTCACCCACTGCACCATCCCACCCCTCCCTCAGAGCCCACCCACCCTGAAAGAACTGGCTCCTGGACCCCCCATAGTTACGTAGTTGGCAGCCAGGTCGGGGTGATCCTTCTCCAGCCCATCATCCAGGACAGTCAGCACGACCCCCAGCCCCGTGTAGCCTCTGCTCCAGGCTGTCAGGATGTTCAGGTCAGGATGGACGTCGTTGTTCTGGGGAACAGATTAAATTCCATCAGCAGCCCTGGGGTGACCTTTGAGGATTTCTGCTGCCTCATCACTGCCAGCATTAGGCTGGTTTATGTGCTGGGGGGGCACTGAGTGTGGCCAGCGGGTCAGGGAGGGGATCCTGCCCCTCTGCTCGGCTCTGTGGGGCAGATTTGGGGTGCTGTGTCCACTCAGGGCTCCTCAGGAGCTCTGGAGTGGGTTCAGGGGAGAGTCACAAAGTTGATGAAGGGATTGGAGCATCTSTGGTGAGGAAAAGCTGAGGGAGCTGGGGCTGTTCAGTGTCCAGAGGGGCTCTCATGTCTGTCTGTCCCTGTCTGCAGGGAGGGCTCACAGCAGGGCCCAGGTTCTGCTCCGTGGGCCCAGCAATGGCACCAAGAGGAACAGGCAGGAGCTGATGCCCAGGAAGCTCCCCCTGGACAGGAGGCAGAACTTCTTCCCTGGACAGTGCCGGAGCCCTGAACAGATTCTCCAGGGAGGGTGAAGAGTCTCCCTCAGTGGGGACATCCCATAATTATCTGGACACAATGCCATGTGCTGTGGCACCAGATGCCCCACACTGTGGTCCCTTCCACCCTGYGATTCGGGTGAGGATGAGAAGGGGAAGCAGCCCGGTCTCACCATGTACCACTGCCTGGGGAACCAGGGATCCGTGGGCACCACGCTGACGCCTCTCTTGGAGCGCTTCTTCACCGTCTGCTGCTCAAACCACAGCACCTGGGCGGGGGGCAGAGCTGTGGGTGCCAGGTGACACCTCCCCACTGCTGTCCCCAGGCTCCCCGTGCCCTCCTCCCTACCTGGGGGTCCCTGGTGAGCCGCATGTGCCACCCCCAGTGCCTGCTCAGGGCTCTCTGCCTGGTGCCGCGGTGCCTGAAGTGGTAATAGGGCTCTCCCTCCATCACCTGCAGGTACAGAGAGCTGCTGTGAGCGTTTCTAGGGGGTGCCAGTGCCAGCCCCGGGTGGGCTGTGGAGGTAATGGTGTGAATTTAATGTGAGCTGTAGTGCAGGACAAGCAGAAGTGTCATTTGGAGACAGAATGGAGTCCTGGGGAGGGCGTGTGTGCCCGTGGGGGGTCCCTCGCWCACACTCAGGGACTGTTTGCTGTGAGGGTGGGGTGATCGTGGCACAGGATTCCCAAATTCCCGGGGTGTCCCATCCCTGGGAGTGTTCAAGGCCAAGCTGGACAGGGCTTGGAGCAACCTGGGACGGTGGAAGGTGCCAAAATGACAAACAATGGCCACACAGGGCGGGTACGAGCACAGATGATCGTGCCAGGGGCACACGGGGCGGGCTGGGCCCGCTTTCCCCCGCCCAGGCCGCACCTGGCCCAGGTAGAGCAGCCCGTGCCGGCGGGCCAGAGCCCGCGCGTCCCGCAGCCCCGCCGCCACCCGCACTGCCCAGCTGCTCAGGTACACGCGGGGCTTGGCGGAACCCGGAGAAGCGGCGGCGGCGGCGATCAGGAGCAGCGCGAACAGCGCCGGTAACAGCGACAGCACCGGGCCGGGCCTGGGCCGAGCCGCCATGAGGCCGCGCCGCCACTGCGCGCGTTGCCATGGCAACGGCGTCAGCCCCGCCCCTCCGCACCGCCTCACCTCATTGGCCCGCCTTGAACCCCGCCCCTCGCTCTCATTGGGCAGACCCCCGCGCTGGCTCCGCCCCTCCCTSACTCCGGCCCCGCCCCGCCGTGTAGCCCGGCCCCATGTCGCACCGGCCACGCCCCGCCGGCCACGCCCCCGCCGGCCGCGCTCTCCGGGGCCAGGGGTCGGTCCGGGGCCGTTCCGGGGCCACCGACACCGCCTCCATCATCTTCAGCRTCGCCACCGCCGTCATGAGCTCCGTGCAGCAGCGCCTGCAGAAGTTCCTCCACCGGCCCGGCCCGCTCGGCGAYCTGCTGGGCCGGCTGGAAGCCCGTACCGGCGTCCAACGGCTCTACCTGGCTACAGGTGCGACCGGTATCGCGGGGCCTCCCCGGCTGTCCCATTCTGGCCGCTTGTCTCCCGTATCCTGTGGCGTCTTGGCAGTCCCTCTGGGGGCTCTGGGAGGGCAGGCAGGGCTGCCGTGGTTGGGGGTGTGGAGCGGGGCCGTGTTGGGAGGGGATCGGGGGGGGACCGGGGGTGACACCGCTGTCACCGCACCATCCTTGCCTTCTGTGCGGCAGGCACGGAATCCCAAAACTCGCAAGGTTTGAGTGTCAGAGGTATCAGATGGACTCTCAAAACCCCTGGCCCTTGAGGGGGTCCCTGGTCTGGATGAGCCCCCAAATCATGGTGGGTCAGACCAGTGAGTGTTGGAAATGGGAGCTCGTCCCGGTGTCCCACTGTGGGGTTCCGGCCATTAACCGGATCCCTGTTGTTCATTAATGAGGAACCAGCCGGGTTCTCCCCAGGGATCCTCCTCCTGGCACGCTGTGCCCCCTCTCCTCTGACCCTCGGCCCTGTGCCCTCTCTGCCAACTTCAGCTGGCCTTATCTGCGTGCTCCAATTTAGGATTTCATATCAAACCTCCCAGGAGCGGCTCAGAGTTTCCCTGATTCCCGTCCCTGCGGGCCTTTGGCCTCCAGGTGTGATTCCCTGGCCCTTCACCTGCAGCAGGGCTGGTTTTCCCACTCTGAGAGAGAAAAATGCCCGTGAAGGGGCACGTGCTGCTGTGCAGGTTGTGTTTGGMTGTGGTGYCAYTCAGGTGTCATTCAAGCAAAACAAYCCTGGGGATTTGGTCAGGCTCGGCCGTGAGAGACTTTTGGGGTAGGACAAGAGTGGACGCACCAAAAATTGATAGTTCTGCTTTCTGGATCCCTGTCCTGGAAAGGAGAAGCTGCTGCTAAACTAAAAAAATCCCTGATTACTCCCTCCCATGGCTCTGGAGCAATCCCAAATTTGTTTTTGAGCCCATGGGCTGGGGTTTGGAGCCCACTTCTGTGGCCTCTGCGCAGCACCACCTCCAAAGGTTCCCTCAGCAAAGCCTTTCCCTCCATTTCTGCTGTTACATAAATTTCTCCRGGGCTTCAAATCCTGCGAAATCCCTTCTAAGGCTCTTGGGGAATGAAACCCAGCACTGCCTGGACCTGCCTGCCCTCCTTGGAGGGAGGTTTGGGATCGCTCCAAAGCCACGTTGCTGCTGCCCGTCTCCCGGGAAAGASCCGGAGCCGTGGGTGCCCCGGATCGGGGCCGGAGCTCAGCCCAGGAATGCTGCGCTGAGCAGAGCCGGGATAATCCGCTCTCCAAGCCCCAGCAAGGACTTTCCTCTAATTCACCAGCACAGACAGGTTAATTCCCCGCTTTCTTCCTGCTGATGGAGGCGTTTGTTTCATGGCTGGGGAGAAGCTGACAAAGTGCTGGGTATCCCTGAGGTTTGAGCGAGGTTTCCACCCCAAGAGCTCCGTGTCMCACCTTCCCCACCTTCTCTCTCTCCCAGCTCAGCCTCCCGCGAGTGTCCGAGCGCTGGGCAGGCTCCAGGCCACCAAACCTTCCGGCTCGCATTTAATTTAACGATCTAATTGAGTGGCGGGGAAGCGGGATAGAATTGCCGCTCCCAGGGGAGAGCCGAGCCGAGCCTTGCCTTGCCTCGCCGGCGGCTGCTGAGCCGCGGGGAGCGCCCGCGGGAGGAGCCGCGATCCCGGGCTCCTGATCCGGGAGCAGGGCTCGTCCTTGAGCGGCGGCTCTGGGAATGCCGAGCGGCTCCGGGGAGCCGCGGGGGAGACGAGAGGAGCCTTGACTTTGGACCATGGGTGTGTTGTCAGCGTCTCCGGTTCCTGCAGCCCTGGCCGCGCTCCAGGCTGGGAGAGACGGGGGTGAAAGTGCTGCGAGATTGGGGTGGTAAAGTCCCATCCGGGCCAGGGGAGGGGACGAACGGTGACAGGAGTGGTTTCACAGGAAGGGCAGACTCCGCCACGTGCCCCGTTATTTGGAGGTATTGTGGAATTAATTGGGGGTGGTCGTTATCCCCCGCTCTGGGATGAGCGCCCTGCTCAGCTGACTGGTGACAGCAGGTGACAGCAGGTGACAGCAGGTGACAGCAGGCACCAGAGCGTCCTCTGTCCCCCACAGGTGCCGTGGCTTTCCTGGGGCTGTACCTCATGTTCGGCTATGGCGCTTCACTGATCTGCAACATGATCGGCTTCGTCTACCCCGCCTATGTGTCGTAAGTACCTGTCCCTGCACCTGGAGAACATTCCCTGCCCTTAGCTGAGGGTCTCCCTGCCCTCTGAAGAGGCAATCATGGCTGGGAAGCTCTTGAGACATTTCTGGGCAGCGGGCAGGTTCCCTTCAGGGTTTGGGAGGATTTGGGAATGTGGAGCCCATCGTGTCCTTCCCCTCTCCTGCCGCAGCATCAAAGCCATCGAGAGCAACTCCAAGGAGGATGACACCATGTGGCTCACGTACTGGGTGGTCTACGGCGTCTTCAGCATCGCCGAGTTCTTCTCCGACCTTTTCCTCTACTGGTTCCCCTTCTACTACGCTGGGAAGGTAAAGGCAGCGCGGGGCTCCTCTCATCCCGTGGCAGAACAGGGAGAAGCTGAGCGTGGTGGGCTCTGAGCCGTTAGCAGGGCTGCAATCAGCTCAGATCCTGTGAGCTCAGGCTGGGGGTCACTGCAGCAGCTGAACCCCTCGTGTCCCCGCAGTGCCTGTTCCTGGTGTGGTGCATGGTCCCCGTGCCCTGGAACGGCTCCCAGGTCATCTACCACAACGTCATCCGGCCCTGCTTCCTCAAGCACCACGCCACCGTGGACACCATGATGGGTCAGCTCGGCACCAAGGCGCTGGACGCGGCCTCCACTGTCACCCGAGAAGGTACCTCAGGTCCCCCTGTCCCTCCATCCTTCTCCGTGTCCAGGTTTTCCCAGCGCCAGGGGCGTGTGGGCAGCTCGGTTTAATTAGCAGCAAGTGATTAATTCTCGGAGCCCATGAGCCGCGTGACGGGAGCCCCGGGGGAGGGTCACGGTCCCTTCTCTAACCTYTCTCTCCTCTCTGCGCCGCACGGTCCAGTCCTACAGACTCTGGCCAGCAGCAGAGCCCAGCTGGCCGCCGCGGTGGCCCCGCAGCCCAGCCTGTCCGTATGTAACGAGCCGAGYCGCGGCTCCCGCCGCCGCCGCCGCCGCCGCTGCCCCGCGGGGACCGGGCCGGGCCGTGCCAGGCGCCCTCCGCCTCTCGTGTCCGCCGTGGCACCGCCCAAAGCGCTCCGCTCCCGCGGGCACCGGCGCGGCTCCCGCACACCCGGCCCTTTCTCCCGTAGAGAGCGTTTCCCTGCCGCTTGTCCGTAGGCAGATCCCATCCGTGTGTCCGTCCGTGTGTCCRTCCATTGTCCATCCCTGTCTCCGKCCCTCTGTCCGTGTGCTGCTCAGCGCTGCTCCCGGGCTGTCACCCCCGTGCTCAGCGGGACAGGGAGGGAACGGGACGGTAACGCGGGACCTCCGGACACCGCTGGGTCACGCTAACACCGTCCGTATCTCCGCAGGCGCCAGAGCATCCCTGAACCTGGCAGAGTTCGTGGAGAAGACGAAGTAAGAGGAGCATCAGCACCCCCGGTACCGGCACTGCAGCCCCGTTACTGGGACCGGCACCGGTACCGGCACCGGCGGCCGCAGTACCGGCACCACGCTCCCGGCACCGGCGCTGTACTCCCAGTACTGATACCGGCATCCCCCGTTGTGGCACCGAATTCCCCCACGCAGATACCGGTACCGGCACCACGCTCCCAGTACCGGCATCATGGCCCTGTTCCCGGTACCGGCGATCTCCGGGATCCCGARTTCCTCCCGCCCACGTCTGTTGTTCCCCCAATCTCTCAATAAACTCCGGTGCCCACGGAGCGCCGCTCCCGCGTGTTCCGTGACAGCGAGCGGCGCCTTTAAGAGCGGGGTGTGGGCGGAGCCTTTGGGGAAGGGGCGTGTCCTGTGCTGATGACGTAACGGGGCGTGGCGGAAGTGTGGCCGGGTCGGGGATCGGTCTGTCGGTCCGTCCGCGGTACCGGGGGGTCGGTGTGGCCGGTGCGGGGTGGTCACGGGGCGCTGTCTGTGTGTCCGGCGGGGCAGAAGGGCCGGATTGTCCGTGCGGGGGTGTGGCTTTGTCCATCTGTCCAGCGGCGGGGGGCRGGGAAAGGGGGTGACCTGTCAATCTGGGGGAGAGGGAGTCTGTCTGTCCGGGGTGGGGGCGGCAGATCAGGGGGTCTGTGTGTGTGTCTGGGGGGCCAGGGATCTGTCTGTCTGTCTGTCTTCCGGGCTGGGGAGGAGCGGTGCAGGGGTCTATCTGTCTGTCTGTCCGGGCCGGGGGGAGCAGCTCAGGGGGTCTGTGTGTCTGTCAGGGGGAAGGGGTCTGTCTGTCTGTCTGTCCGGGATGGGGGGTCTGTGTGTATGTTTGAGGGGTCAGGCGTCTGTCTGTCTGTCTGTCCGGGCCGGGGGGAGCAGCTCAGGGGGTCTGTGTGTCTGTCAGGGCGGGACGGGTCTGTCTGTCTGTCTGTCCGGGCTGGAGGGGAGCGGTGCAGGGGTCTGTCTGTCTGTCTGTCCAGGCTGGGGGGGCAGATCAGGGGGTCTGTGTGTCTGTCAGGGGGGGAGGGGTCTGTCTGTCTGTCTGGGATGGGGGATCTGTGTGTATGTCTGGGAGGCAGGGGTCTATCTGTCTGTCTGTCCGAGCTGGAGGGCAGCTCAGGGGGTCTGTGTGTCTGTCTGGGGGGCAGGGGTCTGTCTGTCTGTCTGTCCGAGCAGAAGGTGGGGGGCACTCTGTTTGTCCATCCGGGTGGGCAGTGAAGGGGCTCTGCCCGCTGGAGGGGGTCCGTCTGTCTGTCCAAAGGACAGCACGGGGGTCTGTTTGTCTTGGGGGGAGATAGGAAGAGGGGGGGTGTCTGTCTGTCTGTCTGTCTGTCTGTCCGGCGTGGGGGCAGCGCAGCCCCCTCACCCCTCGCTCCTCCCCAGCCTCTCCCGCATGAGCCTCCCCCGGGATGAGCTCCAAGGCCAAGCGGGTGCTGCCCACCCGCCCTGAGCCCCCCAGCGCCGAGCAGATCCTGGCCGACATTCAGGGCGCCCCCCCGACCGACCCCATCTTCATCCTCCCCCCCGAGCCCCCCCAGGARCACGGCCCCGCTCCAGGTGAGMCCCSGGCGGGGAGARCGGGRKGCGTGGGGAYCCCCCAGCCCCGCTGAGYCCCCGCTCTGCCCGCCAGGCTGYCCCGAGCCCGCGGCCGAGGAGCGGGAGCGGCTYTACCGGCAGATCCGCTCCTACGTGGGGATGAACCAGCGGCTGCAGCGATCCCGGGAGCTGCTGCGGGAGCGGCGCCGGGAGCTGCAGAGGGTCGGAGAGGCGCTGGAGCGGGAGGTCGCGGAGATGAGGCAGAAAGCGTTCTGAGGGACCCTGGTGGGTTTCACTTTCCCCGGTTTGCATTTGGAGAATCTGGATTTGTCAGGACATTTCCGGCCGTGCCACCTCCGTGACCTTTTTCCCYGAGTCCACTGGTGCAGGAACCAAGGCTTGGACCCCACCTTTTTGTCCCTGAGCTGGCTGCCATGTCCCCCGTGGSTGGCACATCCTCTGCCCCTTACGACTTTTCCCTCTGGTACTTCCCTGAGGACGACCACGTCGCCTCCCGCATCGCGGAGCGCCTGAGGGAAGAGGGCTTTCGGGGCTTCACCGAGCACCAGGACCAAGTGGCCGGCACATCGGTCATCCTGTCAGCCATGGAGGCCATCGAGGCCAGCCGGGTGGCCATCCTGCTCCTCTCGGCCAAGTCCGTGGGTGACCCGTGGTGCCAGCGCGTGTCACAGTGGAATCTGTTCCGCAATATCCACCAGCGCRGCACCAGGGTGCTCCCCGTGTGCGTGGGGGTGACCAAAGCCCAGCTGCCCCCGTTCCTGCAGCACCTCGTCCCGCTGGAATACCAGAATGAGTTTTTCTTCCAGCGGCTCCTGGACAGCCTGAGGAGCCGCCCAGGGAGCGGGGCCAGGCGTGTCCCACCCGAGGGGACACGCTGAGGGACCATTGGGGTGGCCGGGTCGGGGGACACCACTGCCCCGCGGTGATGGTGGCAGGAAAACTGTCCTGTTTTGCTAATAAAGGTGATGGGGCAAATTTGTGTAAATCTCAACCTCCCCCAGTTTTTTACTTGCTTTCTGCGTGCAAATCCGAGCAGTGGAGGGGCCGTGGGTGTTTCCCACCCCTGCAGGTGTTACCCTGTGGGTGTTTTTTCCCCTTCCTGCCCCTGCTGAGCAGGATCTGTGCACCGCTGTCACACTGCTCTGCTGTCACACTGCTCTGCTGTCACACTGCTCTCCTGTCACACTGCTCTGGTGTCACACGGGACCTGGGGCTCCTCCAGCACCACTCCAGCTCGGGATCAGTACCAGGATGGGGGTGAAGGGCTGCTTGGRGCTGCTGCCGCTGCTGCTGCTGCTGCTGCYGCCCCTCCCTCACGGTGAGCACTGGGGCCGAAGGTCCGGCGTGGCCACTGCAGGCTCGGACTCACTGGCCGGGTTGCTGGCAGGTGCTGGCGGGGATGGGACCTGGCTCCAGCCGTCGATCATCAAGGGACACGAGGCCAAACCCCACTCCCGGCCCTACATGGTGTCCCTGCAGTTCAGGRAGGTTCATTTCTGCGGGGCAGCGCTGCTGCACCGGCGCTGGGTGCTGACGGCCGCGCACTGCCAGCCGCGGGGGTGAGTGTGGCACGGCCGTTCCCTGCCCGGTGCGAGGGCAGGGGGCTCCGGGTG